ATTTTCTTGAAATACTCAGCATAACAAGTGCCTTTCTATACAGTAGTATGTCACTCGTATTGTAGATAGTGACCCTTGTATTGTAGATAGTCTTAATGACCCTCGTGTAGTAGATAGTCTTTTTAGTATGATAATAAGATTTTATCTTCACTATGGAATAATAAGAAAATATTATAACATTTATATTATAATAATAAGGTAAAAGGACCCCAATGGAAATAAGTCACTCTGTCTGACATTTTTGGGTTATCCCAGGTTCTCTACACATATGCTGCTATGTATAATAATTCTGTGTAACTGTATTTGTGTATACCTGAATAAACTTACTTACTTACTGATGTCAGCTAGGCCTGTATACCTTGTACATGTACATGTAGTAAATAAAGATATTATTATTATTATTAATATTATTATATTTTCTCAGTTGTTTGTTGGGTTATCTTATTCAAACTTGGGCAATGAATGATGGAAAGATACTTCTTCACGTACACTAAAATTGAAAGAAATCAGACCATAAATAGCGGAGTTCACTTCTCAGCCATTAGTGGCTGCTTAGCGGTATATTTTTGGTCTCATTTGATGGAATGAAAGATATATTACAGAAATAGATATGATTTTGATTGCTTTCATGATGAAAAGTACCTTGAAATTGCGCTCACAGTAGCGAAAATGTTCTATTCTTTAGCGAAGCTCAAGAGTAAACAAATGACGTCACCGTCCAATACCTGTCCGCCTGCCAGTCCAAATTCCAATATGGAGTCAAGAATGGATTGACATTATTTATACAATTATTACAATAATGCAGTAGTCTGCATAACAGTAAATCTTTTATTTTTTTTTTTTTGTGAATAAAAATTCCAAATGGTAAGCAAGAGTAATAAAAGAGGGGCCTGTAGCCGTGACTAATGAACAGAGAAAATGTTATTTTAGTGCCAGGAATGTCTGCATTGTTTATTCTTGATCCTATTTTGAAATTGGCATCTGTTGAAATTTGTGTGAAATCAGCCAAATTGCCAATTTCTGACCACTTTATTGGGTAGTTGAAATAAGTGAATGGGCGGTTTCTTGTACTCAGTTGACAGACTAGAAGTAAATAAGTTTATTCAGGTATACACAAATACAGTTACATAGATTATCATACATATCAGTGTATGTATAGAGAACCTAGGATAACCCAGAAAAGTCAGACAAAGTTGACTTATTTCCAGTACCTGGCTTGGGCTTGCCATATATGATTTTTGGTAAATATTTTTTTTTTCTCGGTTGTTTGTTGGGCTATCTCATTGAAACTTGGGCAATGTATGATGGAAAGATGCTTCTTAACATACAACAAAAATAAAAATGACGGACGATAAATAAGGGAGTTAACTTCTCAGCCATTAGCCGCCTCTTTGCAGTATATTTTTGTATGGTTTTTATGGTTGTATTCTCATTTTTTGGACTCATTTGATATAATGGAAGATATATTACAGAAATAGACATGATTTTGATTGCTTTCATGACGAAAAGCACCTTGAAATTGAGGTCAAAGTAGCGGAAATGTTCAATTTTTGCCGATGTTCAATGAACTGTGTAAGTCAAGTTGGCAGTCTTCAAGCTGGCACTGGACAAGCACCTAAAGTCAGTTCCTGACCAGCCGGGCTGTGGCTCGTACGTTGGTTTGCGTGCAGCCAGCAGCAACAGCCTGGTTGATCAGGCTCTGATCCACCAGGAGGCCTGGTCACAGACCGGGCCGCGGGGGCGTTGACCCCCGGAACTCTCTCCAGGTAAACTCCAGGTAACTTAACCAGTCTGTAATTCGGCAAACTCAGTAATCCGGCACACTACAGGTCCCAATGATGCATGCCGGATTTATGATGGAGGACCTGTACTTATTATTGTAAGCTGATTTTTTTATGTTCATGTAAATAACTCAGTTCACTTTATTCCTATTGTATCTATTTTTATTGTAATTGATTTTCACACAGTTGAGTTACTTAGTTGTTTTATTTTTTAAGGTTGTAATCATGACTGATATCTACTGTGTCTTACATCTAGGCTTTAAATATTAAGATATCACAAGGATCTCAAGGAAAATAAGTCACTCTGTCTGGGTTTTTGGGGTTATCCTAGGTAATTTACACATAACTTCTTCATCTTTCAACAAACTGGCTGTATCCCACAGAGGCAGGGCGGCTCAAAAGAAAAACAAAAATTTCTCATTTTAACTTTAGTAATGTATACAGAAGGGGTTACTAGTCTCTTGCTCCCGGCATTTTAGTTGCCTCTTACAACACACATAGCTTAAGAGGAAGAATTCTGTTCCACTTACCATGGAGAAAAACTTAAACTATGTATGATAATTGTACTTATGTGTACCTGTACCTAAACGAACTTACATACTAATACAAGGACCTCTATGGAAATGTCACTTTGTCTGACCTTTTGGGTTATCCTAGGTAATCTACACATGCTGCTATGTATGATAATTTATGTAGCTGTATTTGTGTACCACCTTCTTCTTTCTTCTTTCAATGTACCAGCCGTATCCCACTGAGGCAGGGTAGCCCAAAAGGAAAAACGAAAGTTTCTCCTTTTAAATTTAGTAATATATACAGGAGAAGGGGTTACTAGCCCCTTGCTCCCGGCATTTTAGTCGCCTCATACGACACACATGGCTTACAGAGGAAGAATTCTGTTCCACTTCCCCATGGAGATAAGAGGAAGTAAACAGGAATATGAACTAGAAAGAAAATAGAAGAAAACCCAGAGGGGTATGTATATATATGCTTGTACATGTATGTGTAGTGTGACCTAAGTGTAAGTAGAAGTAGCAAGATGTACCTGAAATCTTGCATGTTTATGAGACAGAAAAAAAGACACCAGCAATCCTACCATCATGTAAAACAATTACAGGCTTTCATTTTACATTCACTTGGCAGGACGGTAGCACCTCCCTGGGTGGTTGCTGTCTACCAACCTACTACCTAAAATTTGTGTACCTGTACCTGAATAAACTTGCTTAACTCCACCTGATGCCCTACTAACAACAGTTGTGGCACTGTGAGCACCACTTATACCACCAGCTACTGTGCCACCACCACATGTGACACCAGCTGATTTGCTAATTAAACTGACCCCAGCAGCTGCCCTCTCAGTACCATTTATGGCACCACCAGCAGCACAGCTGCCCTGCGAACATCACTTGTTGCACTACCAGCAACACTACTGGTGCCACATGTGAAACCACTCGCAGCACAGCTGTCTGCCAACACCACATGTGGCACTACCAGCAGCACAGTTGCCCTGGCACCACTACATGTGACACGACCAGCAGCACAGTTACCCTGGCAACACTACATGTGACACCACTGGCATTACAGCTGCCCTGCCAGCATCACATGTGACACCACCATCAGCACAGCTGTCTTGACAACACCATGTGTGACACCACCAGCAGCACAGCTGCCCAGCCAACACCACATGTGACACTACCTGCAGCACATTATTAAAGATATTTGATGTACATTATTAATAACTGTGTATATCAGATGTTATTAAAGTGTCATAAAAATGTTGTAAATCCAAGGATAATTGGAGACTGACTGATGATAGTAAGTGTGAGCAATCAAGGTCAGTGTGTGCACAGACAATAATAAACTGAAGTAATCAAGGTCAGTGTGTGCACAGACAATAATAAACTGAAGTAATCAAGGTCTGTGTGTGCACAGACAATAATAAACTGATGTAATCAAGGTCAGTGTGTGCACAGACAATAATAAACTGAAATAATCAAGGTCTGTGTGTGCACAGACAATAATAAACTGAAATAATCAAGGTCTGTGTGTGCACAGACAATAATAAACTGAAGTAATCAAGGTCATCGGTCCACTTGCCGAGAAACAATGAAAATAGGCAGGTCCTGGATGTGACCACTCTGGCCTGTACTGGACAAATGTGAGATGCAACAGTCTTGGTCCACAGCGTCCATAACACCACCAGACATATACTCACTGTGGTGGATTATAACACTGCTGGATACCCACCCCCTGTACAGTGGATTATAACACTGCTGGATACCCACCCCCTGTACAGTGGATTATAACACTGCTGGATACCCAGCCCCTGTACAGTGGACTATAACACTGCTGGATACCCACCCCCTGTACAGTGGATTATAACACTGCTGGATACCCAGCCCATGTACAGTGGACTATAACACTGCTGGATACCCAGCCCCTGTACAGTGGACTATAACACTGCTAGATACCCACCCCATGTACAGTGGACTATAACACTGCTGGAGACCCACCCCACCATGTACAGTGGACTATAACACTGCTGGATACTCACCCCCTTACAGTGGACTATAACACTGCTGGATACCCACCCCCTGTACAGTGGACTATAACACTGCTAGATACCCACCCCATGTACAGTGGACTATAACACTGCTAGATACCCACCCCATGTACAGTGGACTATAACACTGCTGGAGACCCACCCCACCATGTACAGTGGACTATAACACAGCTGGATACCCACCCCCTTACAGTGGACTATAACACTGCTGGATACCTACCCCCTGTACAGTGGACTATAACACTGCTGGATACCCACCCCCTGTACAGTGGACCATAACACTGCTAGATACCCACCCCATGTACAGTGGACTATAACACTGCTGGAGACCCACCCCACCATGTACAGTGGACTATAACACAGCTGGATACCCACCCCCTTACAGTGGACTATAACACTGCTGGATGCCCACCCCCTGTACAGTGGACTATAACACTGCTGGATACCCACCCCATGTACAATGGACACAGCTTTTTTTTCTGGACAAATGTTTTGTACATATTATTTGAATTGTGTTGTACAGTGGTCTATCATACTTGGGTTGTACTTATCATATTTAATATTGTATGTAATGCACTTAACCTATGTAATGTCCAGTTAATATTTTTTTTGGTGTAGAAATTGAACTAATGATTCTCATCATACTTTTCCTTTTGCAGTTGCTGCTTACACTGGCAGTACAGCAATAAATAATGGCAGACACACTGGATGCAACTAGTGTGAAAACCAAGTTTCTTGAAGCATACTTGATTGTCTATGCCAATTTTCATAAAGAAATACTTTAATAGTATTGTTAAAAGTGTGCTACATGGACAGCTTCAGCTTGCATTTCAAGAAGGATCTTTGTGTTCAATTGTCAGAAATACCAATGTTCACTAGTGTTATAAAGCTCGACTCGTCATCCTGAATACTGCAAGAACACTATTAACCTGTACATGTAAGTTCACTCTACTGATTCAAGTTACTGATGAACAGGGTTATTGCCCATTGTAATCGTTTATTCATGAGATGTGCATCACCTTCTGTAGCTTAAACTTATACCAAGATGATCAGCCTCACATGAAAGATAATGTGAATGTAATTAGTAATTTTTTTAATTTCTATGAAAACTTTATAATACAATTTACTTCGTGTATATTTAAATTTTTAAATAATTGATTGTAATTAGTAGAGTAATTAAATATGTTTTTCACTGTATTTAATTAATACAAAACTGTTTATGGAAATCATAATTATTTTTTGCCCATTTCAAGTAATTATTTCTCTGTTCTTTCCTTTTATTGCATAGTGAGGTATATTCTTACCTCACCATAATATTTTCAGATATATCTGTGAGTTAGTCTTATTTTCATTGCTTGAAATATTTCCCATAGTTACCATTTTTATTCTGTCATGTGTTGCTGACATGTTTCAGAATGCTGACTTAGGCTGTTTACTGTATCAGTAATCATGAGGAAAATATTAGGAGTTCTAGTAGCAGTTTTCTGATAAAATCCTTATTAATTATATCTATTTTGTTCATATTGTTATCAAAAGTGAGCACCTTATTGATACAGGCTTAAAATTTATGGTCAAATAATATTTGGTTTCAGCGTAACATTACATTAGACAAGCTATGTCAGCAACATCACTTCTCTAACACTCAAGTTAACATGTGCGAGGTTTCATGGAACTTCTTGCCAACTGTTTTAAGGTTTTTACAAAATCGGTTAAATTGAGGAGACGACGGTTCACATACTAGACATTACTTTATTGCTCTTGAATTGTAAGATAATGAAATACCTCTTTCTTTTAGTAGAGAGAAATATAAGTTTAAGATCTTCAAAGGTTGCACATTTTAATTTGCATTAGTAGACATTTCATGTCACAGAAACATATTTTCAGTTGTCATTGTTTAAAAGACTCTTCTTTGGGTAGTCTTTGGTGATAGAATGGTTTAAATGACAAGTTATATAGATGTCTCATAAATATTTGGAGTGCTGTATCTAAGCAATCACTGTTAGATCAAGTGAGTGTTTTAACAAGAGAAAAACTGTTGTTTAAAAAACATTCACAGAACTAAATTAAGCTACTGTATATAGAGGAATTTTTGTTATAATTTTTTTTATTATTTCAAAAGATGGTTTATATGTGATGTTTATTGTTCTTAGTGTTTAAAATTTTTCTAGTAAAGCAAATATGATGGTTGATTCTGAAAAGCCCTACCAGTGTCCTATTTGTTTAAAAGATTTTGCATTTAGTTCTCGTTTCAAAGCACATCAGAGGGTTCATACAGGGGAGAAACCATTTGAGTGTCCAGTGTGTGAGAAGGGCTTTAAACAAAATGGTCACCTAATGGCACACATGAGACTTCATACAGGGGAGAAACCATATCAGTGTTCGGTGTGTCAGAAATACTTCAAACAAAGTGGTCACCTGAAGACGCACATGAAGCTTCATCCTGAGGTAATAACATACCAGTGTTCAATATGTCTAAAAGACTTTAGTGATAATTCAGCTCTAGCAGAACATGAGAAAATTCACGTAGAAGAAAAACCATATTATTGTTCAGTGTGTCAAAAAAACTTTAAAAAAAGAGGTTATTTGATGATACATATGAAAATTCATAATGAGGAGAAACCTCATCAGTGTTCAGTGTGTGCAAAAACATTTTCAGCAAAACATAATCTAATAAAACACATGAGAATTCATACTGGAGAAAAACCATTTAAATGCCCTGTATGTCTAAAAGATTTTGCATCTACCTTTACTCTGACGATACATGAGAGAATTCACACGGGAGAAAAGCCATATCAGTGTTCAGAGTGTCTGAAAGTTTTTAAAGATAATGCTACTCTAACAAACCATAAGAGAATTCATACAGGAGAAAAGCCTTATCAGTGCTCAGTGTGTCATAAAGAGTTTAAACAAAAAGGTCACCTGATGACACACTTCAGAGTTCATTCTGGGGAGAGACCATATCAGTGTTCATATTGTCCAAAAGATTTTATTTCAAACTCTGCTTTGGTAAAACATATGAGACATCATACAGGGGAGAAACCTTATCAGTGTTCAGAGTGTCTGAAAGCTTTTTCACACAACAGCACTCTGATTCAACACATGGCACGTCATACAGAGCTTAAACCATTTAGGTGTTCTGAGTGCCTAAATGATTTTTCAACAAAAGCAGATTTAAGAAAACATATGAATGTTCATACAGGAGAGATATACAATTGCCCAGTGTGCTCAAAAACCTTTAAGCAAAAATGTGGTTTGAAAAACCACATGAAAAGTCATAGCAGAGAACAACCATATCAATGTTCAAAGTGTCTTCAAGGATTTATGCATAAAACAAATCTAGTAAACCATATGAGTATTCATATACAAGAGAGAATAAGTGGCAATGTTCAGTCTCTAAAAGACTTCAGAAAAATCTCTTCTGGTAAAACATATGAAGACTCTGGCTCCAGCAAGGAAGCAAGTGTGACCGATGCTCTTTAGAGGTAATGTTTACAACGTACATAAGAGTACTGGAAAAGGGAACACAAGAACCAGTGATAAAAGTTTGTTAACTCCCACCTGCTGAGCTCAGCAGATCACAATAAGAGTAGTTAATGAGTGTTTTTATGTATGTGTACATTAGGGTGGTGCAAAAATTTTTTAAAATGGAACTATAAATTAGATATATGTTGCCCTGATAACTTTACCCTGCACATCTTCAGGTGAGTTTTCAGTTCCCTAACTTAATATTTAGGGGTCCTGCAAAAATTCAACTATTCAGCCATAAAAAAATGAACATGACTATAGTGTCTTAATTTATTATAGAAATACGTTTTTTGTCCTTCCTGTGAAGAGCCAGGATTTTCACAAGGAATTGCTTCTGTGCCTCACCCTTGATGATGCATGAGTTGAATTGTCAAATCAGAGCAATATGGCCTGGTGAGGAAGGACCCAGGTGCTTGATATCTATTTAGGAGAATTTAGTTGAAGCTGTTCAAGTATTGGCTGTCATGAAGCTTCCTCAGTCTCTTGAGATTCTTTACCACTGCAACTTTCCATTCTCCAAACCATTCATTAAAGAATGAGAGACCAACCATAGTTCCTTTGTATAAAGGGAAGGGGAACAAAAGAGTGTAAAAATTATAGGGGAATAAACCTACTGAGTATACCAGGTAAAGTGTATGGTAGGATTAATATTGAAAGAATTAAGGGTAAGACAGAGAGCAGGATCACAGATGACCAAAGAAGTTTTAGAAAGGATAGGGGATGTGTAGATCAAGTGTTTACATTGAAGCATATAAGTGAACAATATTTAGGTAAAAATAGGGAAGGCTTCATTGCCTTCATGGATTTAGAGAAGGCACATGTTAGAGTGAATAAGGGAGCAATGTTGCAAGTGTATGGAATAGGTGATAGGTTACTAATTGGTGCTGCTAAGAGTTTTATGAGGATAGTGAGGCTCAGGGTAGTGTATGTAGGAAAGAGGGGCAATTACTTTCTAGTAAAAGTAGTCCTTACATAGGGATGCGTGATGTCACCATGGTAGTTTAACATATAGATAAGGTTATATAAGAAGGGTGTTGAGGAGAGGTGTGGGATTAAAATATGTGGAATCTGATACAGAATGGGAATTGTCACAGTTACTTTTTACTGATGATACTATGTTTCTGGGAGATTATGAAGAGATGTTGCAAAGGTTAGTGGACAAATTTGGGAGGAAAGAGCAAGATGATGAGGGTAACAGATGAGTTAGATAATGAGAGATTGGATATCAGATTGGAAGGAGGGAGTATGGAGGAAGTAAATTTGATGAATATATGAAATACACCTACCATCCGACTTACGACCTGCTCGACATACGTCCACTCGACTTACGACCGTGCATCTGGCAGTAGGGCTGGGCCGGCTGATGCACACCGCTGTACATTATTTGACAATACTTGCGGTGGCAATGTGTCATGCAGGCAGCATCAGTTTGAGTAACCCTGCCCTATCAGCAGCATCATACTGTATTAACTGTACTAACTGGAGAGTAAATTTCACCATGGCCCCTAAGATGAAGTCTGAATCTTGCACTGGAGATTGTGGCAAGAAAGGCTCTTACTCTCGAACTCTCTATTTGTTTTCACTGTTGCACATAAACCTGTCTATATCTGTCTGCCTGTATATCTGTCTGTATCTCTGTGTGTCTGTTTATCTGTCTGTCTACTAGTGTGTCTTCCTGTCTACCTGTGTGTCTGTCTTTGTCTATCTGTGTGTCTTTATGTCTACCTGTGTGTCTTTGTCTACCTGTGTGTCTGTCTTTGTATACCTGTGTCTTTCTGTCTACCTGTGTATCTTTCTGTCTACCTGTGTGTCTTTCTGTCTACCTGTGTCTGTCTTTATGTCTACCTGTGTCTGTCTGTGTCTACCTGTGTGTCTGTCTTTCTGTCTGTCTACCTGTGTGTCTGTCTTTCTGTCTACCAGTGTGTCTGTCTTTGCCTGCTTGTCTGTCTCAGAGCCACTCATTAAGAGTGTACTTGGTCTTGAAGACACCATATTAATAATGATACTAATAATAATCACTGAGGTGCATTAAATGTGTATAAAATGTTAATGTAGACATTTTGCTTAATCCATCTATGATTTTTTTTTTCAAAATTATATAATAAACATGCTACATAACATATAAATTAACAAATATGAGATGTTTTTCTGGTCGGCTTGACAGTGAACAGGAATCATTCGTGTCCGGGCTGGTAACAACACCACCAACAACAACAACGTTTGTTTACATAACTCATGAACATTCTACATTCTCATTCTCTCTCTCATTCATTCATTTAATCTTGTTTACTCACCTCTCAGTCTACATTAAAACTACAGATATTTTAAGGTAAGTAATGAGTGGACACGATTATTATATTATAGCTTAATAATAATAATAATATTAATATTAGTACATATGTATTATTGTAATAATAATGATTATTAATTCTTCTTCTTCTTTCAACGTACCAGCCGTATCCCACCGAGGTGGGGTGGCCCAAAAGAAAAAACTGAAGTTTCTCCTTTTAAATTTAGTAATATATACAGGAGAAGGGGTTACTAGCCCCTTGCTCCCGGCATTTTAGTCGCCTCTTACGACACGCATGGCTTACAGAGGAAGAATTCTGTTGCACTTCCCCATGGAGATAAGAGGAAATAAACAAGAACAAGAATTAGAAAGAAAATAGAAGAAAACCCAGAGGGGTGTGTATATGTATGCTTGTACATGTATGTGTAGTGTGACCTAAGTGTAAGTAGAAGTAGCAAGACTTACCTGTAATCTTGCATATTTATGAGACAGACAAAAGACACCAGCAATCCTACCATCATGTAAAACAATTACAGGCTTTCATTTTACACTCACTTGGCAGGACGGTAGTACCTCCCTGGGTGGTTGCTGTCTACCAACCTACTACCTAATGATTATTAATATTATTATTAATTTAGGGCACTGGAGCACAGATCCAGTGTATAGCACTTTGTCTGTTTTTTTTTGTTATCCTAGGTAATTTATGATATGTATGATAACTTGACTTACGTGTACCAGTGAGAGAGAGAGAGAGAGATACAGAGAGAGAGATACAAAGAGACAGCCACATTCGGTCAGCCAGTCAGCCAGCTACCCACCCACCCAGCCAGCCAAACCCAGCCAGCCAGCCACCCACCCACCCACCCACCCACCCACCCAGCCAGCCAGCCACCCGCCCAGCCACCCACCCATCCAGCCACCCACCCACCCATCCAACCACCGACCTACCCACCCGGCCACCCACCCATCCAGCCAGTCAGCCACCCACCTGGCCAACCACAGACCCGGCCACCCAGCCAGCCAGCCGGATACGTATTACACATGTTCCAGAGTTGTTTCTCTTTACTTAGGGTATAGGTTATACAACATTCTGGCAGGATGACACTACCAGTGGTATTCTCCCATTCCACTGTGTCGACAATACATAAAGATAATAGTAACATATGATACTGTATGCGATGTAAAATTTACAATACTTATCACTACCACGTATACATTATATACAGTACATAAATAATTAAAATACAACAATAGAAGTAAATTATGGTAAAAAGAATGAAATAATGATTGTACATTACATTACAGTATTATGTAGGTAGTTTATATAGGAAAGTTTTAACATTATGCCCTACCCAATATGTCGGCAATTTTCAAAGGTTCGACTTACGTCCATTTCGACTTACGGCCAACCGGTCGGAACCAAGCTTGGTCGTAAGTCGGATGGTAGGTGTATAAGGCAAACCATAGAAATGATGAAGGGGAAAAGATGGGTGGTGCATTGAGGTATCTGTGGAGACAAAGAAAGTTATTCATGGAGGCAAAGAGTGGAATGTATGAGAGTATAGTGGTTCCAACAAATATGGGTATGAAGCATGGATTTTGAATGGTGCAGCGAGGAAAAAGGTTTGAGACAATGGAGATGTTGTGTCTGAGGGCTTTGTGTGGTGTGAATATTATGCCGAGAATCTGTAGTGTGGACATTTTAAGGAGGTGCGGGATTACCAAAAGTATTATTCAGAAGGCTGAGGAGGGCTTGTTGAGATGGTTTAGTCATTTAGTGAGGATGGAGCAAAATAGGATGACTTGGAGGGTGTATAAATATAGTGGAAGGAAGGCAGGGTAGATGGAAGGAAAGCATGGAGGGAGGAGGTAAAGGAGGTTATGTGTGTAAGAGGCTTGAACATCCAGCAGACATGTGTGAGCATGTTAGATATGAATGAGTGGAGGCAAATGGTTTTTGGGATCTAATGAGCTGTGGGAGTGTGAGCAGGTTAAGTGGGAGTGTGAGCAGGTTAACATTTTGTGAAGGGATTCAGGGAAACTAGTTAGCCAGACTTGAGTCCTGGAAGTGGGAAGTAGAGTGCCTTCACTTTGAAGGATGGCTTGGGATATTTGCTGTTTGGAGGGTCATCTGAACAGTCATATGTGTACCTCTTTTAAGAAAATGTGAATGATTGTGGTGTTTCTTTTTTGGATCACCCTACCTCAGTGGGAGACGACCAGCATCAAGAAATTTACCTAGATTCCTGGAAGGTGGGTTTAGTATCTCAGGTTCAATCTCCAGTTAGTCACAGTACAGGAGGGCCTGCCTATTCGACACTCTTTTCAGTGTTCTCTGTTTTTGTTGACTTTTAATTGAACCATTGTTCATTATGTTCAGCACTTTTACCGCTTTTCCATTATTTTTGGACAACAATGGCATAAAGGAATGGCAACCAGTGCCATGTTTTATGGTAAGTATTGTATGTACTGTGTAATTATTTTATTTTTTATCTGTTTTCTGTACCTAGCTGTATTGAGCACTTAATACATTATTGTGTGAACACATTATCAGGCAGCTGCTGTCATTCTGTTCTTGTTCTGTCTTGGTCTAGGCACACCCTCTTGTATGTTGATGATTCCTTCAGCCATGGTTTCTCTTGCAAGATCCTGTTTCACACCATTTCCATCTTGAAAATCAGTTTGACTAGTTGATTTCTCCCCTTTAGGTACCCCCCTATTCTCTGAAAATTTACTGTCTCAGTATGTCCTTCTCACCTATTTCTTTGATGATGTTTTCAAACTCCTGTTTTTCTTCCTGCCATCTTTCATTGTGTGTCCTCCCCTCGCTCTCCTGAAGCCCATGAATAAACACTGGCTTCTCCCTCTCCTCTTTCCATTGCCTTTCCTTATGTGTCTGGATCCTGTTTGCACATGGCCATTGTCTCCCTTAATTTTTCCTGCATCTCTTGGTGGCATGGTCATGCCTCTGCATTGGACCTATCCCCCTCTTCACCTTCTTCCCCTTCCCTTATTGCTATCCCTGCCTCCAACAGCTCTTTCCCTTCATTCCTCGGCCCTGCTTGGTGGACTGATAGGGCCTTAGCGTAAGTCATGTTTCCTTCCTTTTCAGTGGGATCCTTGTTCAGTAGGGGTGTACCTGCTTCAGATGCTATGTCTCCTCTGGGCAATAGTCCTGTAACCCACTTCAACCTATTTACCTCACTTCTTGGGCCTGTATGCTGGCTTCTGCAGCTTCAGCTTTGACTCCCATTTCTTTTTCTCTGCCTCCATCCTTTAATCCATTTTCACAGGAAACATACCTAGTTGGCTCTCCCACCCTTGTTCCATCCTTTTACATTGCTCTTCCATCTATTCTTCCTTACCAGGACCATCGTCCTCTGATCCCCTGAGACTTTGACTTCCCCTCAGAGCCACCATTTTTTTTTTATGGGTTAGGTGTTGTAATGTGTGTATGCGTGTATGTTGGGTGAAGGGAGATTGCAAGGGGGAGAGAGATGGGGAGAGGCAGGGAGGGAGACAGAGTGATATAGAGGTGGAGAAAGAGTGGAACGGGTGTAGAGTGTGTGTACTCACCTATTTGTGGTTGCAGGGGTTGAGTCATAGCTCCTGGCCCTGCCTCTTCACTGATTGCTACTAGGTCCTCTCTCTCCCTGCTCCATGAGCTTTATCATACCTCGCCTTAAAACTATGTATGGTTCCTGCCTCCACTACTTCACTTTCTAGGCTATTCCACGGCTTGACTACTCTATGACTGAAGAAATACTTCCTAACATCCCTTTGATTCATCTGAGTCTTCAACTTCCAATTGTGACCTCTTGTGTCTGTGTCCCATCTCTGGAACATCCCGTCTTTGTCCACCTCGTCTATTCCGCGCAGTATTTTATATGTCGGTATCATGTCTGCCCTGACCCTTCTGGCCTCCAGTGTCGTCAGGCCGATTTCCCTCAACCTTTCTTTGTAGGACAATCCCCGTAGCTCTGGCAATAGTCTTGTTGCAAACCTTTGCACTTTCTCTAATTTCTTGAAGTGCTTGACCAGGTGTGGATTCCAAACTGGTGCTGCATACTCTAGTATGGGCCTAACATACACAGTGTACAGTGTCTTGAACGATTCCTTATTAAGGTATCAGAACGCTATTCTCAGGTTTGCCAGGTGCCCATATGCTGCAGCAGTTATTTGGCTGATGTGTGCCTCCGGTGATGTGCTCGGTGTTATGGTCACCCCCCAAGGTCTTTCTCCCTGAGTGAGGTCTGTAGTCTTTGCCCACCTAGCCTATACTCTATCTGCGATCTTCTTTGCTCCTCCCCAATCGTCGTCGTAAGCTTCTCTCTTTTATGTGCGGGTTATTTGTGTATCGTTCCAGTCAGAGTATTGTGCCTTTTTTTGTTGTTCATGACTTTGCATTTGGCAGGGTTGAATTCGAGAAGCCAGTTTCTGGACCACATGTCCAGCCTTTTCAGGTCTCTTTTCACTCCTGCCTCATCCTCATCTGATTTAATTCTTCTCATCAACTTCACATCATATGCGAATAGGGACACTTCAGAGTCTATTCCTTCCATCATGTCCTTTGTATATATCCAAAACAGCACTGGTCCTAGAGCTGACCCCTGTGGGACCCCGCTCGTCACAGGCGCCCACTATGATACCTCTTCACATACCATGACTCGTTGTTGCCTCCCTGTCAGGTATTCCCTAATCCATTGCATCCCTGTTATATATGCCTGATCCTCCAGCTTCTGCACTAATCTCGTGTGGGGAACTGTGTAGGAAAACGCAATCAACCCACCCCTCTCTCTCGTGTCTTACTTCTGTTACTTTGTCATAAAACTCCAGAAGGTTTGTGACACAGGATTTGCCTTCCATGAACCCATGCTGGTTTTCATTTATAATCTTGTTCCATTCCAGGTGTTCCACCACTCTCCTCATGATAATCTTCTCCATGACTTTGCACACAATACATGTCAGAGACACAGGTCTGTAGTTTAGTGCCTCATTTCTGTTTCCTTTCTTAAATATGGGGACTACATTTGCTGTCTTACATTTCTCAGGTAGTTGCCCAGTTTCAAGGGATGTGTTGAAGATTGTGGTTAGGGGCATGCACAGCACCTCTGCCCCTTCTCTAAGGACCCACGGGGAGATGTTGTCCGGTCCCATCGCCTTTGAGGTATCAAGGTCACTTAGCAGCTTCTGCACCTCCTCCTTGGTTGTTCGTATGTCATCCAACACTTGTTGGTATATTTCCTCTTGATGTTCCCTTCTGTGCTGTCTTCCCAAAGCCCTTCCTGTCTCTACTGTAAAAACTTCCTTAATCTCCTGTTTAGCTCCTCACATACCTCCTGATCATTTCTTGTGAGTTATCCACCTTCTGTTCTCAATCTGATCACCTGGTCTTTGACTGTTGTCTTCCTCCTGTGTGGCTATACAACAGTTTTGGGCCAGTCTTGATTTTCGATGCTATGTTATTTTGATACTGTCGCTGGGCCTCCCTCCTTACCCGTGCATACTCGTTCCTGGCTCTGCGACTGATCTCTCTATTTTCCTGTGTTCTCTGCCTTCTGTACTTTTTCCATTCTGTATTGCACTTTGTTTTTGCCTCCATACACCGTTGGGTAAACCAGGGACTCGTTCTGGTCTTCCCATTGTTTCTGTTGCCCTTGGAAATAAACCTTTCCACTGCCTCCTTGCATTTTGTTGTTACATATTCCATCATTTCGTTTACTGGCTTTCCTGCCAGTTCTCTGTCTCACGGAACCTCCTGCAGGAAGTTCCTCAACCCCTATGTAGTCCCCTCTTTTATAGTCAGGCTTTTCCCATTCAACTCCTGTTACTCTCTCCACTTGCAACTCTACTATGTATTCAAAGCACAGAACCACGTGGTCACTAGCTCCTAGGGGACTCTCATATGTGATGTCCTCAATGTCTGAACTGCCCAGGGTGAACACAAGGTCTAATCTTGCTGGTTCATCCTCCCCTCTCACTCTGGTAGTCCTTAACATGTTGGTGCATGAGGTTTTCCAGCACCACATCCAACATCTTGGCTCTCCATGTTTTGGGACCCCCATGTGGCTCCAGGTTTTCCCAGTCAATCTCCCTGTGGTTGAAATCTCCCATAACTAGCAACTTTGCTCTGCTGGAGTGAGCTCTTCTTGCCACCTCAGCAAGTGTGTCCACCATTGCTCTGTTGCTCTCTTCATATTCCTCTCTTGGCCTCCTGCAGTTCTGTGGTGGATTATACATCACTGCAATGACCACCTTGTGCTCCCCAGACTGAACCGTACCTACTATGTAGTCTCTTTCTCCCGTCTCGTCTATGCCTCCCATTTTCTCGAATTTCCATTTGTTTTTTACGAGCAGAGCAACCCCTCCTCCCCCTTTGCCCCTTCTATCTTTCCTCATGATCTGGTATCCTGGTGGGAAGATTGCATCTATTATTGTCTCTGTGAGTTTTGTTTCTGTAACTGCTATGATGTCTGGGGACTTCTCATTGATTCTTTCTTGCCATTCCTCATGTTTATTCGTTAATCCATCTGCATTTGTGTACCAAACCTTCAACTTCTGTTCTAATACTGTAACTGTGGTGTGGGGGGTGGGAACAGAGGGATCGGTGTGTGATGGTTGGTTTGGATTGTTCAGTTGCCTTGGGGGTGTTGTGGCTGGAGTCCTTCTGCAGGTGTTTCTGGGGGATGTGCTTGTTCTTCCACTTGTTCCTGGGTTATTCTGCTCTCCTTTTACATTTCCTCCCATTCCTCATTTCATTTTTGCACTCTTTCAGTATCATCCTTTCCTCCTGTGTTCTGTCTCGATCGAGGTACACAATCATGAACTCCTGTTTGCCTCTCAGCCGTGCTTTCTCCTGCAGGATCATGGTTCGGGTTGATTCTGACTTGAAAATTACTTTGAGAGGCCAATTCCTTTTCTTTGTGAACCACCCGATTCTCTGAAAATTTGCCACCTGGGTCATGTCTCCCTCGCCTATCACCTTCATGATACCTTCAATCGCTTTTTTCTCCTCCTGCTTTCTTTCATCATAAGTTTCCCCTTTAGCTTCATCTAGCCCATAGACAAAAACTGATCTCTCCCTTTCCACCTCCCACTGTGACTCCCATTGCATCCTCTGATGTGTTTTAGTTCCTTCCCATGGAGTGTTCCTTCCTTCAGTCCCTTACCTAGCTATGGCCCCTATGCTCATTGGTTTGTCCTTCCTGCTCACCTGTTCCTGGCCCCCACAGGTGTCTGGTAAGGTCCCTGCACATGTCCTAGTTCCTTCAATGTCTTCCAACCTCTCATTCTGTTCTAGTGTGCTCCCTGTCTTTGTTTTGGCCCCATGTGGGTTTAACAGGACCTCTGTATACAGTTTAGCTTCCATGCTCCCTTCAGACCCGTTGTCTGTGTCTGATGTAGCCATTGCTGATGCTACTTCTGTAATATCATTGTCTCTATGCTGTTTCAGATGTCTCAGCTCCTCTTCTAATCTCTGTATCTTGGTTTCTGCTGCTGTGGCATGTTGCTTCCACCTTCTGCATTCTGCTGTTAACCTCTCCTCCATCTTCCTTGCAAGCTCATCTAGCCTCCTTCTCTAGTCTTCCTCCCTTTTTTTGAGCTCTGCCTCCCAGTCCTTTCTCCCAGATTCGTCCTTCGGGCCCCTTGTTCTCATCCTAGTTCTAGGATGAGAACAAGGGGCCCAAAGGACGAAGGGGGGGAGAACGTTATGGGGAGGGGAATAGATGGTTAGGGGGATTGGGGATGGATGGTTATGGATGAGGGGGAGGACAGTTATTGGAGGGGGAGAGGTAGTTGGGGGAGGGGGTTAGATGGTTTGGGGGAGGGGTAGGTGGCTAGGGGGAGGGGAAGAGGTGGTTAGGGGAAGGGGGAGTACGTGTTTGTGTCAAGTGTATATGTGCTTGCGTATGTGTACTCACCTAGTTGAGGTTGCGGGGGTCGAGTCTGAGCTCCTGGCCCCGCCTCTTCACTGATCGCTACTAGGTCACTCTCCCTGAGCCGTGAGCTTTATCATTCCTCTGCTTAAAGCTATGTATGGATCCTGCCTCCACTACATCGCTTCCCAAACTATTCCACTTACTGACTATGTGGCTGAAGAAATACTTCCTAACATCCCTGTGATTCATCTGTGTCTTCAGCTTCCAACTGTGTCCCCTTGTTACTGTGTCCAATCTCTGGAACATCCTGTCTTTGTCCACCTTGTCAATTCCTCTCAGTATTTTGTATGTCATTATCATGTCCCCCCTATCTCTCCTGTCCTCCAGTGTCGTCAGGTTGATTTCCCTTAACCTCTCCTCGTAGGACATACCTCTTAGCTCTGGGACTAGTCTTGTTGCAAACCTTTGCACTTTCTCTAGTTTCTTCACGTGCTTGGCTAGGTGTGGGTTCCAAACTGGTGCCGCATACTCCAATATGGGCCTAACATACACGGTGTACAGGGTCCTGAATGATTCCTTATTAAGATGTCGGAATGCTGTTCTGAGGTTTGCTAGGCGCCCATATGCTGCAGCAGTTATTTGGTTGATGTGCGCTTCAGGAGATGTGCCTGGTGTTATACTCACCCCAAGATCTTTTTCCTTGAGTGAGGTTTGTAGTCTCTGACCCCCTAGACTGTACTCCGTATGCGGCCTTCTCTGCCCTTCCCCAATCTTCATGACTTTGCACTTGGTGGGATTGAACTCCAGGAGCCAATTGCTGGACCAGGTCTGCAGCCTATCAAGATCCCTTTGTAGTTCTGCCTGGTCTTCGATCGAGTGAATTCTTCTCATCAACTTCACGTCATCTGCAAACAGGGACACCTCAGAGTCTATTCCTTCCGTCATGTCGTTCACAAATACCAGAAACAGCACTGGTCCTAGGACTGACCCCTGCGGGACCCCGCTGGTCACAGGTGCCCACTCTGACACCTCGCCACGTACC